TCAAGGATTCCTAACTGCTATGAGACAAGAGGTAGGACTATAACATGTACCATTTCTCTCAGTCATTTGTGCTTAAGACCCTGTACTTTTTGACTCAATTGACTTGAGCAACTTTAGAAATTTATTAAATCTCGATTTGATAATTTTAAAAGTGAAAGTTGTCTTTTGGCTAAAAATAGTAGCTTTGGTGTAATTTGAAGTACAACATGTGTGAGAAATTTCGTCACTTTTGGGACAATTTTTGCCTCAATTTGAGTTGAAATTTACCAGATTTCATGTGAGAAAAAGTTTTAGCTCACTTTGATGTAAAAGCTATTCAATTTTCAGTGCATACAAATGCCATCAAATTTCACTGAATAGTTTAAGTGCAAACTGCTCAGCTATTACTAGCAATGATTAGTTTAAATCTCAAAGAAACACTGAAGAGAGTAAAACTGACATTGATCAAAAGATAAATTTTAAATTGTCACAGTATTGAGTTGTTCCTTGTTACAGGTTGCAAGAGCACACAAAGGCTGGGCCCTGGACAGTGTAGTGCTATATAATGAGGTTACTAGAATGAACAAGGAAGATGTAACAGCTCCACCAGGAGAAGGTGTATACATACAGGGTCTGTTCTTAGATGGAGCAGGCTGGGACAGGAGGAATTCCAAACTAACAGAACCAACTCCTAAAGTGCTGTATGTGAGTATGCCAGTCATACATGTCTATGCTATTAACACAAGAGAGATCAGTAAAGACCCAAAACTTTACGCGTGTCCTGTGTATAAAAAACCAAGGAGAACTGATTTGACTTACATCACAGCACTTTACCTCAAAACACTTCAACCTCCTCATGAGTGGACTCTAAAAGGAACTGCTCTTCTCTGTGACACCAAATAATTAACTTTAACACAGCCTCATGCTTTTTGTTGCTACACTGACCCTTAATTTTGATTTTTAGTTAAAATAATGTGTATTACATAAATAATTTTTTAAAAGGATGGACCACACTACATGGAAGCAGTATCAAATGGAAAGCCATTGGCTGGATCAGTTACTATAACTCTAGCCTTCCAGCAGAGCCTATATTCAGGCTACACTTTTATTATATAGTCTTCTTCAAAAGACTCAGTTTAGGTAATATTTTGAAATAATTCAACTGCAGTTCCTCATTTATTGCAGTAAATACGTCTGCTCATGCTCAGATGCATGGTATAGGTGTTCCCAGTACTGTGTACTGCTCATGCTCAGATGCATGGTATAGGTGTTCCCAGTACTGTGTACTGCTCATGCTCAGATGCATGGTATAGGTGTTCCCAGTACTGTGTACTGCTCATGCTCGAATGCATGGTATAGGTGTTCCCAGTACTGTATACTGCTCATGCTCAGATGCATGGTATAGGTGTTCCCAGTACTGTGTACTGCTCATGTTCAGATGCATGGTATAGGTGTTCCCAGTACTGTGTACTGCTCATGTTCAGATGCATGGTATAGGTGTTCCCAGTACTGTGTACTGCTCATGTTCAGATGCATGGTATAGGTGTTCCCAGTACTGTGTACTGCTCATGCTCAGATGCATGGTATAGGTGTTCCCAGTACTGTGTACTGCTCATGCTCAGATGCATGGTATAGGTGTTCCCAGTACTGTGTACTGCTCATGTTCAGATGCATGGTATAGGTGTTCCCAGTACTGTGTACTGCTCATGTTCAGATGCATGGTATAGGTGTTCCCAGTACTGTGTACTGCTCATGATCAGATGCATGGTATAGGTGTTCCCAGTACTGTGTACTGCTCATGCTCAGATGCATGGTATAGGTGTTCCCAGTACTGTGTACTGCTCATGTTCAGATGCATGGTATAGGTGTTCCCAGTACTGTGTACTGCTCATGTTCAGATGCATGGTATAGGTGTTCCCAGTACTGTATACTGCTCATGTTCAGATGCATGGTATAGGTGTTCCCAGTACTGTATACTGCTCATGCTCAGATGCATGGTATAGGTGTTCCCAGTACTGTGTACTGCTCATGATCAGATGCATGGTATAGGTGTTCCCAGTACTGTGTACTGCTCATGTTCAGATGCATGGTATAGGTGTTCCCAGTACTGTGTACTGCTCATGCTCGAATGCATGGTATAGGTGTTCCCAGTACTGTATACTGCTCATGCTCAGATGCATGGTATAGGTGTTCCCAGTACTGTGTACTGCTCATGTTCAGATGCATGGTATAGGTGTTCCCAGTACTGTGTACTGCTCATGATCAGATGCATGGTATAGGTGTTCCCAGTACTGTGTACTGCTCATGTTCAGATGCATGGTATAGGTGTTCCCAGTACTGTGTACTGCTCATGATCAGATGCATGGTATAGGTGTTCCCAGTACTGTATACTGCTTATGCTC